CTCCAGACCTTTCGTCTCCTTTACCGGGCCAAGATGACTTCTTGGACCTTTCCTTTTCTCAACCTGAATTGAATTTGGCTCTTGACGGCTTGAACATAAAATCTAGTCCTGGCATGGATAACATTGACTATAAAATTTTAATAATGCTTCCTGACGTGGCGAAGGATTGGTTTTTGAAGATTTATAATGAAATTTATTCTTCTAGAGACTTCCCGGAGGAGTGGAGGAGATATTTGATGTTTTTCATTCCCAAATCGGGAGATAAGAAAAGATTTAGACTCATCTCACTTGTTTCGTGCACGTGTAAGGTCTTTGAGAGGTTGATTTGCAATAGATTAACCTGGTGGTTAGAAAATAACGATCTGCTGCCCAATTCTCAGTTTGGATTTAGAAAGGCTAAGAGTTGCATGGATAATGTGTCAATCTTATACTCGGAAATCTTTAGAGCTTTTTCGTCTGATAGATATAAGCCAACAGCTTTCCTTGATGTTAGAGCGGCATACGATAATGTCTTGTTTGACATTCTCATAAGCCGGCTGAGTAAACTGGGTATTTCGAGGAATATGGTTGCTTACATAGCCTTCCTTTCCCATTCGAAACAAGTTCATTGTAGATTTGAGGAGATAGACGAAGTGGTCTGGGTTCATAAAGGCCTTCTTCAGGGGAGTGTCCTTTCCCCCTTGTTATATGCTCTGTATGTAAAGGACATTGAATCCTCAATCCCGATAGGATGCCGAATGATTCAATATGCGGATGATATCGCAATACTTGCTAGTGGTAATTCCAATTCCAATTCAGAAGGTTTGGAACTTGTTGAGCGTGCCATTGAAAATGTTACTACATCATTAAATGAGTTGGGGCTGGATTTATCAATCGAAAAAACTAAGTTATGTGTTTTCAGAAAGGAGAGAACGAAAATTCCGGACAGACTTCTATATATTAAAGTTAAAAATAAGTTTATTTACTGCTCTCCAAAGATCTCCTTCCTTGGTATTCAGTTCCATAAGCACCTTAAATGGGATTCTCAAATTAATAAAATTGTCAAAACCTGCCAAAATCCATTGAGGATGTTGAGTTGTCTTAGAGGAACATGGTGGGGTGCAGACCCCAGATTACTTATTAATTTGTATAATGCGCTTGTCAGGTCTAGGTTAGATTATGGGTGTTTTCTTTTCCATGATATTAAACATCATCTTAGACTTAAATTAAACAGAATCCAATATAAAGCAATTAGAACCTCCTTAGGATTTAGGATGTCCACACCCATCAACGTCATTCTGGCGGAGAGTGAGGAACCTCCTCTTTTTATTCGAGCTCAATATCTCTGCAGAAACTTTATCACTAAAGTGTTTTCTCAAGAAATCATTGAAATACGTGAAATGCCATCACAAATCAACCGTTTGGAGGAGCCTCTTTTGGTGAAATGCTTCAAACAGATTGAATCTAAAGCTCACTTGATAGAAAGTGATCACAGACTTTTGTGTTTCTCCAAGAACTTTCTTTCGCTACTATTTAAACCTGAGATTGACTTGGATTCAGGAATGATCCTTAAGAAGTCCAAGAATCCTAACAGTGTGTTTAATAGAATGTTTGAAGAAGCTCTTTCGGACTCTTTATGCGTCTTTAGTGATGGTTCTAAGACACAGGGACAGGAATTTGTTGGTTTCTCAGTGATATCCAACGATGGTCTTATCAAACTATTATTTAGGTCTTCAGGGCTGGTCCCTATTTTTACGGCTGAGGCAATGGCTATTCTAGAAACTCTTAGAGCACCTGCAATCTGTGAGGCGTCGAAGATTTCTATCTTCTCTGACTCTAAGTTTGTTTTGACATCTCTACTAAGCAACTTTACCAAGACTACTCACCTATCTCTGTATATTAAGGACGAGACAAGATCGTTGGAAAGCGAGGGCAAGAAAATTAAATTATATTGGATCCCCAGCCATTGTGAAATTTCTGGTAATGAACTGGCTGACTTAAATGCTAAGGAAGCTGTACGCTTGGGGATAGATTCTCATATTGGTATCCCTCCAACAGACCTTAAAAAATGTTGGCATGAAATGATGCGCACAGAGTTTAAGGAATGGTGCCTATTGATAGGCAATGCAAACAAGGGTTCCTTCTATACTGAAAATTATCTGGATCTTAGAAATAAACCATGGTTTCACAAACTCCATAGAAACAGAAAAGTATTGGTATCCATAGTAAGACTTAGGAGTGACCACTCCAGCCTCAGGAGTAGTCTTTACCGATTTGGGATCGTTGATAACCCTCTGTGCCTTCATTGCGGGGTTGTCGAGGAGGTCAACCATGTTTTTTGGCAATGTCTTCGCTTTGATGTGCATCGGAGTTTTTTGATTAAAAAAACGGTAAAAGCTTTCGGTCTTCTCCCAATCCCTATAGAATCGATCCTTGTGTAGGTCAGAGGGGACGCAATTTGGTGCTTGGAGGAATTCATTGAGAACATTGATTTTGTGTTTTAATCTATAGTTGTAAATTGTCATACCTTTTGTTATAATTAAATTTATCTTTTCATATGGTATATAAATTTTGTTTCCTTTGTATTCATCAGTTTAGTTATAATCGAATTTTATTTTCACTCTATTTTTCCTTGTTAGGTTATTTTATTTACTTTAATTATTTTAAGTTAATTTAATTTAAGATTTGCTTGTCATTATATTGTAATTTGTTTCATTTCTAGACATATGTTTTGTTTTGTAATATAAAGAGTTTGAGTAGCGTTTAAGTTTATGTCCATGAATGGTTTAAATTAATTAAGTTATAGTATTAAAATATATTACAATATTTAAATAAAATAAGGTAGGTTAAGATAGAATAAGATAGTCTACAAACTTATTTTCTTTCGCTCCACGTTATGATTTTTTTATACTTTTCAGTTCTAAATTGTTTGTAATGTAATAGTTTTTTATTATTTTATTATTTGATTAGGCACTTGGTACTAATGTATATACTGGTATTCATGTCATGTCATGTATTATATATATATGTCTTTAATAAGATTCTCTCTTACTTCTTGTTTTAATCTTCTTTCTATACTAAATATAGGTCGTACCCAATATTTTCGTGTTTTTTTTCTATTATTCTCATTTTTTTTGCAATTATATACGAGTAAAATTTTACGATCTTGCGGTGTAGTTCTTGCTTTTGAAATATATACCAACTTTGTTTAAATTTTTTCAATAATCCGCAAATAATAATAAATAATTTTTCAGAATTCATATTGACAGTTCGTATATTATGTATGGAATTCATGAATTTTGACAAGTATACGCATGTATGTATGATTCCGATCCGCTTGAGTATTGTCTCTACTGTCCCATGTAGCGGAAAACGCGGAAGCATAGTCTGTGGGAGCCAATAATATACACTATTCCGATAGATACAATGAAAGAATCTGTAGGAAAGGTCTTGTTGATTGGTAAGGGCAACTTGCGTTTCCGCGAGTTCCGCTCCATGGCACCGACGAGATATCATTACCCCTACAGCACTGAAGCTTGCAACAACATTGCTGCAACATTGCAATATTGCATAATGCAGTGTAATGTTGCAGAAATATTGCAAATTATTTTACAATATAACCATTATTTTACAAAATGTTGCTGCAATGTTGTTACAATCTTGCGATGCTGTATGGGTAAAGACCGGTGGTCTTAAGGTAACATTTCATGAGCAGTGAAAAGCAGCAGCAGTTTAGAAAGTAACTAGAATCGGTGACGTACTTCCGGCGCAAGTTTTTGCTGTTTGAAGTTCATCCTGTTGAACAGCAAAGCAGTAAAAGCTGTGTTTTGGTTATATATGTACATATATTTTAAAGTATGGAATCACCAGAGTATCACCATAAGTTTGTAGGAACTATATAATTATAAAAATAATTACTCATTCGGTTATATCTCAATTAATATTGAGATTGAGATTAACGATTTAAAACACTGCAGAAAACCTATTTCATGGGCAGCGCAGCAATTCTGTAAAATCACCAAACAATGCTAGTTAGTTACTAAACTGCTGCTGCTTTTCATTGTCCATGAAATGTTACTTTAATCTTCAATCTTCAATTTTCAATGCGTAATCTGATACGGGCTTTATGGGATTTAGGGCCAATTTCACTAAGGCTGCGTTCCGTTTCATGCATGATGCGCATGAATGCTTGGTTTTCCTTCACCTCTATTTTCTGTTGGCCACCCTGCTAATTTTAACCGTTGGTTAATCTAACCGAGCTTGGTGAAAGTGGCCCTTAGCGTGACTGGAAAAAAAACTCGCTGCGCTTTATTTTAGTTCATCCAGTTATCGTTTTATTAACAAAAATGTATAGATCTTTTCTATAACTGCCTCAAGAACAACAAAATAAACATTTTATTGTAAATTTACTGTTTTATTATCGACAATGCAAAGGTTTACTTACCTACAGTACCGCGTGGCGAGTTTTTTTACCAGTAATTTGCTAAATCCTATAAGACCATCGGTCTCTAATGATATCTCGTCGGTGTTTTCGATAATAAAATAATAACTGGATGAAGTAAAATAACCGTATGAATTAAATAATTCGTGTAATTATCTTCGATCCAATCAAACGGCCGGTAATGTCAACATTCTTCAATTACCTCTGGGCCCACCGGGCCCACTTGGTGGTCACAAAAGTTTACCCAGGGCTAACGGTCTTTAATAGTATCTCGTCGGTGTCCATGGGCAGTAGAAAATATATTTCAGCGGAGCGCAATTGGCGGAATGCTTGCGATTGGACGGATTTCGTTCCGCATGTCCTTTTCTACGTGGGCATCGGCCCCCACTCCTTAAATAAAGGTAAACGCTCGGTCTAGATATATTATGTCTATGGTTCCGCCATTCCGCATTGCGCATATGTTCCGTACCATGGGACCATGAGGTGTACATCTATGTTGACGACGTCCACGGCATAAATATGTAAATATAGTATAGTCGAAAGAAGCGGAAGCTTTCTTACACTTTCTTGAATGGTATTATACTATGCAATTGGGAGAATTGTAACATTCTGTTGCTCAATGTAATTTCGTAGATTCACGAACTCTCAAGCGAAATGACGTAAACAGTTTCCAGATCTTTCATAGCATATTTCGATTGGAATTGATAAGAATGTCATTCAGTCGCCAATGGTGAGAGAAAGAAAGGAATAGAAATGTTATGTTTATATTACGGCGAATAGGACACATTGGTGAGCTCAAAATATCGAGGAAAGATGGAATGCGCCGAACGGAAGTATCTGTGTACAATTTAATGCTATGCCACGGCAGTCTTACACCGCGTGCCCTGACATTTCGTTTGTCGACGATGTCAAAATTGTAGGTACTGTCATGGACACAGATGTGGAACTTGGGAAAAGTGAAGGGTGCGAAACTATCCCAGGCTGTTCCGGTTACTCTAGCATGGTGCACAGTAAGAAAGTTATTAAACATGCGTTACGACAGCAAGCCAAACGGCGTAGGAAGAATACGACAATAGCGGCGGGCAATTCCCGCGCGTTACCTAGAATCGTTGTCAAACCGTTACCTCCACCTCCGTCAAATGATCCACCATCTCCGGTTAATAATGTTCAACACATCAATACTGGTAATTGTAATACTGCAACATATATTTGCTTCATTTCTATTTTATTTCTTATAGAGCAAGTCAGTGGTGTTCAATGGTTTTTGAAAATTTATTTGTTATACACACAAGATAGAAATTTCTAACATATCTTTTAAGTAACAATGTGATAAACAAATGCAAGTATTTTAATATTGAATGGCAAATTTCACGATAAGTCAATTGTATAAGTCAAATTTATCTATATAGTTTACATTCTTTCTATTAGAAAAACACCATTAGTACAGCATATAGAAGAAAATATGCAGTTCTACTGATTTACTATATATATATTAGACAATTCTATATATAATGTTGGTATTACAGCTGTATATACTATAAGGATTATTTTGGGACATGAGCAAGTGTTAATTTATTAAGTGGTTTTTTTTCTTTCTGTAATTAATTTTTTATCCTGTATTATGATCTATTTATTGCTATTTTATTGGTGTTAAATAGTAATAGATAGAAACAACAAAATGTGGAATAAAGTAATAAAAAGGAAAAATATGTTATAAAGTAACTGGCTTATAAATGCATATCTGTTTATTAACATATTGCTTTGATGTAATAAATTGTGCTGAAGAATTATCTGATTGTATTTTAATCAATGTTATATATAAAAAAGGTGTATTTTTAACTACACTGATACTATAATGTTTTTTTGAAGCATTAATGAAAAAAGCTCATATAATGTTTGGTATAAATATATTCACATTTTCATTATATTTCTGATATATATATAAATTGGAATATAATATAATAATATTACTGATATTATAATTAATTATCAATTATTGTAAGAAATAATTTATTTTATTTTCTTTAGGTTGTATATATAAAATAGATAATTGTTAGACACGTACAAGTTAGTACATATAAAATAGATAAAAGCAGACAATTTTATTTTTGATGGCTGACATGATATTCTTGATAATTGAATAATCCTAATAATTTATATTTTGTGTGAATATAGCAGCGGAAGAACCTGCTGCCACAATGAGAGAAGTTTTGGCTAGTTTACCTGGATTTAGCTTGAAGTCGGGCCGTAGGCGATCCACAAAGAGATTGTCAGCGACTGCACAATTAGAAGCAGGTCTCGTGGATTTGGAATCTCCAGCGAGCATATTAGCAAGTACCAGCTTACGTGCTCTGTTAAATAGGCATACATTCCAAGGCTTACCTCCACTGTATCAAAGGAAGCTCGCACAACTGTTGCCTACTGTAGATAGACAGGTATTTTCTAAAATTTCTTAATGCCTTACTATGTTTATCCATGGTTAAAAAACCATTTAGAACTTTTTTAAGTACTTTCTTTTTTATCAAAAATTATCAAAATTAATTTTGTTATCTTGTTGTTAGGATGCTGCAATTTCTGGGTTAAACAATGAATTTTTTGCAAGAGCTTGTTTAGAATGGCGGAAACGTTTAGCAGAAGGAGAATTCACTCCAGAAAATCAACAACGCCTGAAAATGGAAGCAGAAAGAGATAAGAATAAGCTAGATCCATGGAAAGTGAAACATTTCGAACCAATATGGGGAGAGAAACGAGAGCCTAAACTTAAATCGAGTCTCCATTATATTACTGAGTCACGTTCTAGTGGTGCAGTAACACGTTCAAGTTTAAGACTTCGTTTGGAATCTAATGTGGATATTCCAGCATCAGAACATGTCTATCCCATTGTAATGACAGGAGATAAAGTCGATACTAGTTGTAAGACCGAAATTAGCATAAAGACTTCTGATAATTTAGCTAATTCTGAAGAAGTGCAGCAAAATTTAATGGGTTTGGATTATAACACATTATCAGACAATTTGACCGATGAGAAACATTTAAATGATTCTATACAAATGAATTCTATAGAAATAATAGAAGATATTCAAATACATGAAACTAAAACGGAAGGAACTGAGAAGATCACGGATATTTGCAAGGAACAAGATATAATTGAGACTAATGACATTTCGAGGCAACTTTGTCAAGATAACATCTCCAATATTTATGAAGAAGAAACAGATTTTTCTTCCAGTGAGAAAAATTTGCAACCTGCAGAAAATAATGTAATTGAAACATTAGAAGAGGACACTGTACTATTGCCCGATGATAATTCATCACCTAGATCTAACGAACAAGTAGAACGTGTGTCACACACATCTGGAGAATCAATTTCGCAGTTATCCAATGAATATGTATCACAAACATCTATAGATCAAATAGATCAAATTTCAAAGGAACAGATATCACAAATGTCTAATGATCAAATTTATCAGATATCGGATTGCAAAACTACAAGTATTCTTGAAAGTTCGTCTCCGAAGGATCAAGTAAGATCGACAGATATTGTTATAGAGGATACTAATATGATGAGTAGTGATCAAACTGAAACAGCACATGTTTCGCACGAGAATCCAACAGATAGTGAATCACAAATTCCAGAAGGAATGGAAATTGATAGTGAAACTTTACAGCGTATTCATGAACTCGAGGTAGGTAAGAGTTTTAATACATTGAATAAGCTATTAATAGATTGTTAATATATTATTGCGTTGATAATCTCGGCAATTTTTTGCAAAAAATAAAAATGTACTATTATTAAAGATTGATATCAATTATACTTTAGGTACGAGGAGAGATGCGCGAAATGTATGAAGAGATTTCGGGATGTCCCGAAGAGATAATATATCCTATTCTTGAAGGAATGGAAATGACTTCAACCAATACAGAGGTAACCGAACCGCAAGTATCTGGACAAACTGAAGATACTAGGGAAACAGATGTAAATGCCGGTAATGAGGATGAAGCTCTCCGGGAGGCAAATAATTACGTCTGTTCTGAAATGCTAGAATGCAGTTGGACGGTGGATCCGACCATTAATAATATCAATAATAATAGAGTAAGTAAATATTATTAAAACAATATAGAGATTAGTTATATGTCATTATTTATATAAATTGTAAACATATGTGTATTATTTTTAAATAAAAGTAGCTAATTTCTCGATACAAGCATTAGCGATTTGTCAATGCAAAATTTGAATTTAGACTAATTATACAATTAAAACAAATTGTTCAAAGAGCAAAATAGAGAAGATTAAAATTTAGAGCACAATCACATGAATAAAAAACAAGATGCTTATTTGCAATTAAGTCATTCGCCATTTGAAGAAGAATTGATGGATAAATTTTAATGTTCATTTTCTTGAATATCCAATGTTTCATCAAACTTTTATTAATTTATTATTTATTAAAAAAAAAAAATGTTTTTAAATTTTTGCAAAGACGCAAGAGGAGCTGCAGGTACCTTGGCCTTTGGTGGCAGCTGCTCTTGATGGATCCGTAGCAGCTAATATTACAGTAACAACGCAGGATGAATGCAGCGAGACCTCTACAACAACCGACTCTACGACTTCTTCACAACAGTTTATTAACGCGAATACCAATGTAGAATCCGTTAACTGTATTCAATTACCGGTTGTTCAAGGAACTACGTTTCAATCCGACGGCTTGGCTATCAGCACGCCGGGAAACAGCTGCGTTATGAAGAACTTACAATCGCAAAGTCCACCGATTATCACATTTCCACAATTGCAGTCTATCAGATTTGTGCAAACCAGTTTTAATCCAGAGCAAGATGCAACGTCTTTGCTCACAAATAACTCGCCTACAATCTCAGCGCAGCTTCAGCCTCAACAAAGTACTACCGCGCAAATAAATATGATACGAACGCAGGATACTATCACTCAAATAAATACTCAAAATAGTAATACATGCAATAATGTAAATCAGAATGCCATTGTGACGCAAGGTCAAGTACAAAATACTTTGTCAACTACGATGGGAATACAATCTCAAAATCGTACACAGAATGCGATTGTTATTCAACATCAGACTGCTGCTTCAGCTCAACCTCGACAAATTGCAGCTGCTATGCATCAACAGCAGCAGCAGCAGCAACCACAGCAGCAACAACCACAACAACAACAGCAATATGCCGGATCATCGGTAACAATCCCGTCGCGATCATCGCGCGTGTCTAATCAAGGCAGCCAAAGAGGCTCCAGAAACAATAAAGAACAAGGAGGAAGTAGATCCAGAAGTTCTACAAAAGAGCCTCCAGGCGCTGTCAATTTGGAGCGTAGTTATCAGATATGTCAAGCGGTAAATTAATCCAATATCCAATCAAGAATTATATACATAAAACATTATGAAGATTATAAACTTATCAAACACGCAAAATTTGCACATTGATAGATGAAGAAACTGGTATTATTTCAGGTTATACAAAGTTCACCAAATAGAGATCAATTAAAAGCTCACTTAAAACCACCACCTAGTTTACTTGCAAGAGGAGACGGTGCATTCACAACCAGTAAATCTGGTGGACGCACTTTAACAACTGTCAAACCTCAGAAAACGCAACAAGCGATACAACATAACAAACAAGCTCAAAATAAAACACAAGCAGTTATGCTGAGACATGTATTTGCTACAGCGCGTCAAGCTACATCAACGGAGGTATATAGCACATATATATTAGTTATATTAGATTATATTTAGATATTTGTGTGTCAACTTTTATGTGGTACTTGTAATTTACTCTATATTAAGAGTAAAATATTATAGTTTATGTTGTGATATTTATCTTCTCATAAAACTAATATTTTCGTATGAGTTATGCAAGTAAAACATCATTAATTTTCAAATAACGTACTTGTAACACAATAAAAAAATCTTAATAACTATTATAATAAATCAAAAAAATATATTTTTAATAATCATGATAAAATAATTTTTGCTATAAATATAGTTTTAATTTGCGAAATTGTCTTTTAATATTTCTCTTGTATGTACTGGATATTTGAACATACTTGCATACTATTTTATCCTTTTCTGTGTGTACAGTGCTAATCTTGCGGGTCGCTTGTGATGATCTCTGTATCATACAGGTACCTAAATAAACAAATCTTTACATTAGTTGTGGGTTTCTAAATGCAGTAGAGAGATAGTACGACTTTAATTGTCAGAGATAATGATGGTAGCAAGACGCGCAAAAAAATTTTTTATCTATAAAACTATAATAAAACAAATATAAAATGTGATTAAATGTATTTATATTACACAACCAGATAAGCTTTAGAGAGATTGAAACGCATTGTTGTGATTGAAACATTGTATAATATATTTCTACTGACAGACAATAGTAACTTGAAAACAACGAAACACAGTACACAATTCGAATTATGTCAAATGTTTATATAATGACTAATCATATTCTCAATGCCTTGTAGGTTACAGAAAGCACTCCTATAGCGCAACTTGGTTCCTCCACCAGTAACAATTTCGGGCAATACATACTTGTACAAAGGACAGGAGTTGGGGATGGCGCACCAAGGGCGTCATCCGCTCCCCCGTTACCGCCGCAGATTGCAGGGATGGGCGTCGGGGTCCATTTAGTGCGAGGAAGACCAGCGAGTGCGGGAGAAGGCTCTCATCAAGCTGTTACTCTGAAAGCGAGAGGTGCGGATAGCAGAGTGACGGGCGGTGCGGAGCCCGGTGCACCTGGCATGATAATCGGCGGTGACCCACCACCCCCATGTGAATGTAATATGCGAGGAGCCATGGTAATTTGTCGGCAGTGTGGTGCCTTCTGCCACGATGACTGCATCGGGCCTCAACGTATCTGTGCTACCTGTCTTATACGTTAATCATTCTTTATTTAACACCGTTCGTGTATAAATTTAATAAACCCGTTCTAAGATAAGAGTGCTGATCATCTATTATAATATTGGTAAATTAAAGAAACACCAAACACACACATCGTAATGACAAATTTATTAAACAACGTCATATATACAAGGGATTTCGCGTGATGATGTATTTAGAGATATAACATAAGTTATACGACACACACACATACAGCATACATAAAGTGTGATCGAAAATTTTGGGGACATTACTTCTGCAATAATCTATTAAATAGTATATTGCAATCAATGTTTTAGATTGCATTTTATTAGAAACAAAAGTTAACATATCGATGTGTAGTTTTGGAAGAATATTACATTATTTTTTAAAGAAGAAAATATTGAATTAAAATTTTAATATAATTTTTTCTTAATGAGCATTGCTCCCGCGATTTTTTAATTATGTGTTGTACAATATGTTAATATATATGCGCTCAGTCTATTAAAATTAATTGCCAAATTAATTCATTTGAAGCATATGAACACTATTAAGTATATAGTATAAGAAGTAAAAAAAGTTAAAAGTAATATTTTATTCATAATAAATTTTTATTTATAATATTCTATATATTCTTTCTGATATTAATTATTTGTATTCGATTTTTTATTATACTATAATTTTTCTTATTATACTGTAATAATTTAAAACTGAAATATTCATAGCTTACAAGTTCTGTTTTATGAAAACGTGCGTTAGAAAGAATATTTATATTACGTTTTAGAAAAGGAAAAGTATGTCCTCTTCTTCAAATTCTACTCTTCGTTGAAGTTATTATATATTAATGTAGATCTAAATAAAGATTTTACTTTTTATTATATTTTTTTATTGTAAAATCATTAGATCGTGCATTAGAAGTAATCATGTTTCTCGAATATGATTTGATGTTCCACAAGATACAATAAAATAGTAAAACTACTTTTGGCAATTCATTTTAATAAAAATTATTTATATAATTGGAATATTCGTGTAAATTTTTTAGTCTTCGAAAGTTATAAATTACTATCCAGCACTCTTACATTAACGGAAGTTTTTATAGATTGAGGGTAATAAAGGATACAGTTGGATACAGTGGATATTGAAAAATTCAATATTGCTACATTATACAGCAGATAAAAAAATATAAATGCGCGCTTATTATTTCTTTCATATTTTATTATTATCTTGCCTATTGTAATTTTATTACAAATTGACAAATACTTATAATGCATTGCTCTAACACACAAAATAAAATGTATAGATTGTACACAAAGCTATGTTAACAAGTTAGAGTCTGTATAATTATAGCAATACTTGCCTAATTATATTTGTGAAATTGATATATAATTTGTTGAACAAATTATTTATTCAATAATCAAAACTTCTTTAACATTGTTTTTAATGTTTTGTCTCACTGAACTGATGGATATATCATTAATATACTATTTCCAATCGCGAATAATATAAACAAAAAGTCAAGGAATATTTAATCATATATTTGACAAATAAATATACAAAAAAGACTCTTGTAGAGAAATGTTTCATGCAATGTTTATTTTTTCTTTCAAATTGTCAAACTCTAGTCTGTATTATATTTATATCACTTCTATCTTTATTTATTACATTATTTATTGATGATAATATTATTTATATTTTTATAGTTTTTATATTTTCGTAATATTGCCATTCCTCATATTCATGCTTATTAACAAAAACCATATTTACTTCACTTATATAATTCTTTCATTTAATTAATAATATTATTTGTACTATGATTTGTACTATGATTTGTACTATGATTTGTACTATGATTTGTACTATGATTTATTAACGTGTAATGTAATTCTGGCTAGTAATTCCAATATTTCAACTGTATTCTTTAGACCTTTTCTTAAAAGTTTGATATATAAATCTCATATATATTGACCCTTAATACAGTCTTCCACTAAACATCACACTCTGTATACTCTGTAGTATGTATGTTTGTTATTTATTTATTAACACGCGAATTTATTTTTATTATAGCTGTGTAGAAAATATTCCTGTACATGTTGATCTCGAAGCTACACTAATCCTTTGTACACACACATGCTCTCTTTTAATCATTCCTTTTGAATATAGGATGATCTGTTGGACTTTGAGTCTTAATATAGTTCAGACTACTTTCCACACATGTATTAATACATGTATGTCAAACTAGTATCGTCGGACATTGTGTACAGGAACAGTAATATATCATGAGAATGAATAATTGATTAAGATAAACGATTTATTACAAATAATAAGAGGAATAATTGAATATTCATAACTGTAATATATANNNNATATAGTCTGTATCGTTCGACTCTCCTATGATTTGTTACGATTTGTAACTCTTTAGTATTGTTATTTATATCGAGGAATGATTTATTGAGAAATTGCGAACAGTTTTATCATTGATATCATTTCACCTATATCTTTTAATGCAAATTGATTACAATCAATCTATGTCTTCTTTGTCATAATTGGTCATTCAAACAATTCAAATTCATTATTACGCCAAGAAGAGTACCTAACCGATTTCAACTGCTCTCATTTCTTCCAGTTTTTTGGGATGCATGAATAAGACACATATACTCTCTCTGACACGGAGATTGACAATTGGATATTAATTGTAAGCATTAGTATTTGAAATCAAGTATGCATGGGATATGTATTTGTTTATACTAGTTCTCTTTTAATTTTAATATAAAATATCTCAAATGATTTTTATTAAATTCTTTCACAATTTTCTTCAAAAATGTCAAACAGAATATTTAATATGATTAAATTGATATAAATAACGCCATTTATCGAGAATATTTGTTAAAAAAGTAAAGGTTTATTTTGTGTGATAAAGAAACATATTTAATATAATTTGTAATAATTAATTTTATCAATTTTTACTATAAAATATTTTAGAAAGAACTCATGTATTTTGAGAATTTAATATTTTATTTCGACAAGGATCTAATGCACATATATGTTACAGAATCAGTCAGCATTCTTTCGCCAAGTTGCCAAGCTTTGTACTAGTAAACATGTATATATTTAGATAAAAAATTATTGTTTGCATTTCGTATTACTAGAAAATTATACACACATATACATACAAAAATAAGAAAAAAATGACAAAACAGTAGAAAATGTGACTGAGATCAAATGGATTACAATGATGCAGTGTTGTGTTAGAATATGTTTTATGTAAATTATATATTCATTCTATTTTATCTCTCCCTGTATATGTATATAATCATCATTAGATTCTCCTGTCATATTATTGTTACAATCTTATAACTATTGAAGATTTTGAGGCAATAATATGCTAAGTGACACGATGTGCTAGATCTTAAGCTTACATTTATTTGCTTGCTCCTTTGTGTTGTGAATGAAAGCATCTACACTTCTTGAAAGAAAAAATATATGAAAAAATAAGTTCAAAAATTTCTTTCTCTGCTGTATATCTGCGAAATTTATCGTGTGTGACTTAACGTGTTATCATCCCATCAACTTTTATGCTTAACAGAATTTAAGAAATATGCATTACATTGTGTCATACTTTTTCTAAATATGTTTAATTATGTTACTTTTATCGATATTGGTTATCTATCATATGCCGCCATGATTATAATGTTAATTTTTCATTAATAATAATAGTAATTATATATATAGTATTA